AAACAATTATACTTTCTGTTAATAAAATCAAATATATTTTTTTGATAAAAATAACCTAAAAATAGTTAATTATTTGGTCATGTAAGAATTAAAATGTTATCACGTGAGGGGTACTCAATGACTTGAACTTGAATGACGCTAGTGACAGAAATCGAACTAATAAGACGCTAAAAGTCTAAAACTATAATGACTAAAAATATTTTTAAAAAATAGACTATATGAAAAATATTTAATTATTTTATCATAAAAATAACAAAATAAGATAATTTCTAATGCATCGGTTCTATTATCAAAAAATATATAGTTTTATTAAATAAAAAAGACTGAAATACCAAAAAAGAAACTAAAATGAGAAAACAAAATGACTAAAATACCCCTAAGTTAAATGGTGGATTTTTAATAGATTTACTCTCAAGGACTAGAACAACAATAAATTATAAATAATAGAGACGGAAAAAAAATTACAAACCATAAGGACGAAAATTACAATTTCGAAACTACAAGAACGAAAATCATAATTTCAAAACCATATGGATGAAAATCACGATCTTTAACCACAGGGGTGGTGCCTGATTGGTTTGAGCTTGGCTCTAAAGGTCAAAAGTACCAGGATGTCACAGGTTCAAACCCAAGGATGAATAAAAATCTTCTTGTGGCCACGGAGGTTCAAATGCGGTGACTTCGGGCTATCTGCAAAGCAGGTGATCGCCTTGGGATTAGTCGGTTCGCATAGCAGGTTGGATATCCAGGTTAATAAAAAAAAATCACAATCTTTCAGAAACCACAAGGACTACAAATCGTAGTTTACTCAACTTATTTTTGACATAAATAATCCCTAACTTTTGTTTTTAATAGCATTGTGGTCTCTAGAATTAACATTGTCAACTGGAGCTTCGTTATAGCCTCATATTCTCCCCAAGAACTGTTCCTTATCCAACGATTCCACAATCATCCCCTTCTATGACAAACCCGAACCCTCTCTCCTTTCTGTCATGTAAAGGTGAGATTGAATTGAAAGAAAGCACCATATTTTCTCGAGACGAGATTGGCAACGAAGAAGATTTCTAGATAACTCAGTCCCTTTCTTCTTTTGTTCCCTCTCCTTGCAACCCTTTCTTTGATCCACATAAGCAACAATGGAAACGAGATCTGCAACGACATTCGATTCATTATAAGGGATCTAGTTTCTTGGAGGGGATGGGTGGTGAATGTTCTTTTGGTTGAGAAAGCAGATTGAGGGGGGAAATATGGTAAAATGACGAATTTACCCTTAAGTGTCCTCACATGCCTTAATTCATGGGCAACAATTTAACAATATTAACTCAAGGGGGATTATTTGTGTTATGAAAATGAAAAATTAGGACCACCTTTGTGATTTGAAGCAGATCACAGGGACTAAGATGTAATTCACTCAATTTTAAATATATGAGAATCCTGTAAAGATTTATAATTTATTTGATTTATATATATATATATATATATATATAAAGTTTATACGTATCTTACATCAATAAAACAAAATGTATAAAACAAATAAATAAAGTAAAGATAGAGTTAAACAATTTTGAAATGTGATCAATGCATCCCCTTTTTTATCTTTAACTTTTTGTACAAAGATATGCTTTTTATATTAGTTTATTTGCATATTCAATATAGAGTAAACTACAAGAATGGTCCTTGTGTTATGCCTCATTTTGGATTTTGGTCCTTTGTAGTTCTAATTTTGTGTTTTCTATAACAGATCGGTCCTTTAAATTAACAATGTTAACTTGAGTTGCGTTAATCCAGCCATGTGCCCCTCATGTGAGAGGCAAATTCGTCTCTTTACACGTCTTTTTTCTGTCCCTCCTTTCTCAATTCAAGAACCCAAATTTCATTCCCCGAACAACAAAAACCCCACAAGATTTAATACAAATTCAACCCGAAATTTAAACTCAGATTCAACAACCTATAATCCAGATGAAACAAAAATCACAATAACCTAAATCTGAAGCGATGGAGATGTTGAATGATGAACAAAAAGCTTGACAACAAATGGAGATGCAAATCATGAACATATGGAGGTGCAAAGCAATGAATAATTATTCAAAGAAAACCTACAAGTGGTTAATTCTGAGTTTAAATCTAAATCTGAATCTATAAAAAAACCGTAAATGAATTGATTATTAATAATATAATATATTAATACAAACAAGATAGTAGAAAAAATTAAAATAATATAATATGTAAGTAAAAGAATTTTAAATTGA